TCTCTGATCATAAATGTCAGCCCAAGAGGCTTTTTTACATGTAAATCAGATCATGCCACTCTCCTGATTCCAGTCCCCCAATAACTGCCTCATGCAATTAGAGTCAAGTCCACTCTTCTAGCTAAGACCTACATTTCATTTCACTCGTTCTGTCACTGACCATGCTCCAGTCACTTGGGTTTGCTCTCTGCCCTTCAAGTGCAACAGGCTTGTGCCTGCCCTAGGACCTTTGCATTCGCTGTTTCTTCTATCTGGAATACCCTTGCCCAGATCTCTGTGTGGTTGACTCTGATGACTCAACTCCAAGATCACTCATTGGAGAGGCCTTTCTGGATCACAGTGTCTAAGGTAGGGCCTTCACACCCCCTAGGCTTCAGTGTTTTGTGTTTATTATTGAGCTGCCTCTATTTCCCACTGGAGGGTAACATCTATGAAACAGGAACTTTTTTAAAAATTATTTTTATTTGAGATGGAGTCTCACTCTGTCACCCAGGCTGGAGTGCAGTGGCACAATTTCAGCTCACTGCAACCTCTGCCTCCTGGGTTCAAGCAGTTCTCCTGTCTCAGCCTCCAGAGTAGATGGGACTACAGGCACATCACTATGCCCAGCTAATTTTCATATTTTTAGTAGAGATGGGGTTTCACCATGTTGGTCAGGCTGATCCTGAACTCCTGACCTTCGGTGATCTACCCTCCTTGGCCTCCCAAAGTGCTGAGATTACAGGCGTGAGCCACCGTGTCCAGCAAAACAGGAATCTTGATTTTCAATGTTGTCTGCTCTGTTCTAGGTACTTAAAACACTGCTTGTCATTCAGTGAGAATGTAATAAATCCAAAGCACAGAAGAGTGAAAACATGACATGGAAGGAATGTACACAGTTTTATTTTTGGTTTCAAAGGAAAGAATAAAATGCTATCTTTGTGAGGTGTCTCAGAAGCAGAGGTCTAGATGAGATTATTTGATAATGTCTTCAAATGTGGTAATTCATTTTGCTAGTAGAAGAATTCTTTGTAGAAGTTGGCAGACTAAAGTGTTTTTCAGGGGAGTAAGTCCTCCAAAAGAAAACAATCCAAAATACAGTCAGTTCAGGTCCTGTTTTTAGTTCTACGTTGACCCTGATGATGAACAATTTCACGTATGTTTTTACTGTCTTCTGGTTATGACACCCAGAGAGAGGTGCAATATGGATAACACAATGGTCAACCTCATATATTTGTGATTGCAACAATAACTTTGAAGGTTATGACTCTTAGAAGACACAGAAGCTCTAAACAACACTGGCTTTGCCAGTTTAAACAAATCCTGGTTTCTCTCTATTTTGTAATCAAATAAATGTCTCTTCTTCCACCACAATGATTAAACTATGTATTTGGTTCCAAGAGGTATTTTCTTTGTCAATTATTGTGCTGAGCAATTTAATATCTTGAATTTAGAAACTAATCTTCTTATGAGGAACACAGGACGACGACCCCAGTTTTAACAGGTCTAGGACTTGGAAGTCTGCATTATGGAAGGATATGGAAACGTGACATTTGATCATGGCAGGTGAGAGAGAATGTTAGAGGTTCACTCTAGTAAATAATGGACCAGATACACTGTATGCATAAAATATTGTGTACCTTATTTGTTTGCTCATCAAACACTGAGCAAAAACTACACGTGTGAAAGTTGTCAGAGTGAAAATGGAGTCACTAATGTTAAGAAAACCCTGACAAACAGAGCCAAGGAATGCCATGAAGAGAGGGGGTCTCAGGCTTGTATGTTTTACAACAAAAAAGACTCTACAAAACCCACAACCTTGCACAAAGGCCATCACAACCTTACTCGAAAGATATTTCTCCAAGGGCATCTGCTCAGCCACTGCCTGATCACCTTCAGACTGGCATCATCCTGTTATTGGTCTTTGTAGCCAAGGATAATTATTTCAAAACAATTATGTACTACTCCTCATTTTTACCTTTAAAAACCTTACTTTTCCTTTACTTCCCTGAATAAACACATAATTTACTGTGGTATGTGTAATTCCCATTACAATGTTTTATTCCCAAATAAAGATCTTTCCTTGTAGCGAGTCTCCCTCTGTTTGTTATTTATGTTGACACATGTAAGGAGTAATTATCACATATTTCCTTTGATGTGGTGACCAAGCGTACAGAGAAAGCACACAGTGCACTGAATAGGGCATAGAAGCCAGGTTTTAAGACACGTTTTTCCTTCACCCAGCAGCCCTCAATTCACAAAGTAGAAAAGTGAGGTCCAAATGCCCAAATTATCATTAATTTCAGAACTTCACATAAAAAGACTCACATTTCAAAAGTTCTTTATTATAAAAAATTTCGAACATGCACAATAGCTGAAATGATAGTACAATTATTGACTCATAGACTAAGCACTTAGATCCAGGAATAGCTAATATTTTACTGATCATTTGGATGTAATACTTCAGATTTAAATACTTTAGTGTGAAGCTTCTAAAAATAAGAACCTTTTAGTGACCTGCACTTGGAGAGTCAGGGGAGCACCATCCCAGTCATGACCCTGTTGCCATGGAGCTGCAGACCCAGACGGCCTCAGACTGGGGCCAGGGATGCTGGGGCACTGATGCTGGTACATGGTTCATGTATTTTCTCCTTCATCTTGGACATTTTGTTTCTCTTTCTGAGAACATAGCTTGAAACACTACAGAACCAGTAATTATATAAAAGTGTATCTGTGAATACTCTACAGTTTTATATACATTCCCAATGTATTTCTGCTGCCTTCTAGATAATTTATTTCACAACACTTTACTGCACAGTTGTAAATAATTTAGGTACTGTAATAGCACTTTCAGTTATGTGTAAAGACATATATGAATTTAAAAAATAGAAAGAATATTCTTTAGTATAGTCACTTCTAGGATCATTAACAGTAATTTTCTAATATCATCTAATAAACTCAAATTTCCTCAATTATCCCCAAAGTATCTTTTATATCTGTTATTTTTCAAACCAAGATTCATCAAGGTCATTCCATTCTGTGTTTCTAGTCACTTTTAATCTGTAACAGACTCCACCCTCTTTTTTTTTCTTCCTCACATTATAGTTTTTGAGCGACTAAGCCAGCTATTTTGTAGAACATCCCACATTCTAGATGTTTCTTGTTGTTTGATTGGGTCATAGCATTTTACTTAGCATTTTTCCTTATCTCTCAGGCTTGGTCCAATTTAGGTTAAACATTCTTCAAAAGTGATACTGTAGACTCATATTGCGTCACATTAGGAGGTATATAATGTTAGAATGAGCTACTGTTAATGCTGCTGATTTTTAATTTGTTTAATTTCAGTGTTTCCATAAGAAAAAAGTTAGTATTTTGGATAGCAGAGAGCTATTTTGTACCAAAATTAAGGTGATTTGCAGTGCGCAAAATAATTACAGGCAACGGTTTGCAGGAATGGTCTAAAATGATGACTCATGGTTCATTATTCTACCACTGAAGGGAGAAACACAGCTGAATGTTAAAGGGACTTAAGAAATAGTTAAGGTCAGATTACCTCTCCATAGGAGGATGAGAAGATTCCCATGTGGCCCAGATCCTTGTAGGTACCTTGGGAACATAGGTTTCAGGCCTGGGTGACAGTATGTAAAAGGCTTAGGATTGTGGCAGTGAAGTTCAGCCATCACCTCCTACTGCTTCTTCCCTAAATTTTAGGAAAACCTCCAGGCTATTAGGCAAATAGTTATACAGCTCAAGTGGAAATTCTAGCCCTACTGCTTATGCTGCTTTTATTTTTATTTTATTTTATTTTTTTTGCTGCTTTTATTTCAAGTGCAACGACTACACATTTATCTGTTTGATTTAAAAAATTGGTTCCTGCCTTAAAAAGCCTCTGGGCACAGGAACAGTAAAATTATTCAATAAAATACTTAAATCAATTGACACCACCCTGTTTAAAAACACAGTCTATCACCGAGGGACAGAAAATGCCATGCCTAGTGTGAGATTCCTTTTGGCTACACAAATTTTAAAAGGCAGGTTTTACACCGGATTTTAAATATATGTAAGCTGGATCTGGTTGAACTAGTGAAGACAGATGGCACGACTGAAAAGACACCTTTCTCCTGATTTGAATGGGCAGGTGGGTGGCTGGTAGCACAGTTGAAATGATCGTCCAGGCTAAACTGCATCCCTTGTTCACAGTGCACTAGGAACTCTTATGAGGCTAAAAGACTTGTAATCCATGCATCATTTAACTATCACAACAAACCTGTGAAATAGGTATGACTATTATCCCCATTTTACAGGAGAAAAAAACCAAGGCACAAACAGGCACAAAAAGATCAAACCAACTGTCTAATGTCACGCTAGCTGGTTTAAGATAAACCTGGGATTTGAACCCAGGCACTTTGGTACCAGAGTCTGTGCTTTTGCTTTTAATTTTTGTGTTTCTACTCTAAACTGACTATAGCTGTTCATTTGGTAACATATTTGATGAATTATATACATGATATGTTTATATTTGTATATGTATCTTACTATGTGCCTGGCATTTCATTCAGCTGGGCTCTGGAATGCAATTAAAATCCAGAACACATGTGGCTCCTCAGTTCAGGCTGACCCCAATTCAAGTTGACCCCCATTCAGGCTGACCCCTAATTGTATGGGTCTTGGATTTGTAGATAAAACCTGGTGAAGGGACCACATGTCAACAAGTTATGTGATTGCTGATGGAGGCATTTCAGGCTGGGAAATCTTTTCATTCTGACCATTACATGGACTTCGTGCTATTAACACTTAATGGCATTTTGGAGGTGTGTTAAAATTTATCACTGTATAGACGATATAAGAATGGGCCAAGGAAGCTGATGTTAAAAAAGCAGACTGATGGAGGAAGAATCAAAAGATAAGGATTGGTAACTTGTATCTCCCATATGGATTGCTCATATTAGCTGCATTCTCTTAAGGATAGAAACTAAACACAGCAAGCAAAAAACTCCACTTTAACAGAATGCGTTTAGAGATCCTATTTTGAATATAAGGATTTTTATGAGAAGATGAAGTGGCTTGTTTCAAAGAGGTGCTGTTTCAACAGTAACAGCAGAAACAAGGAAGGCTTCATTTGTGCAGTCTAGTTGAAAGCTCATCAAACTTATACAAGTGCAGAGACGATGAGGTGGAAAGACAGTTGCATTTTAAAGAAGACCAATAAAACAACATCGCTTTTCATTGTTTGCAGCTTTACAGTTTCAAAGCCACTGTCTCATACTTTATCAACTCTATCTTGTGTGTATCCTCTTTTCCTCATGGGATTCTCTCATCTGCTGAGATTCTCACATCTTTCCCTGCCCCCTGCTTGCTCTGAAGTAGCTGTCACTTTTGAAGCCAAAGGGTCTTGGGTGGGATTGCAGGGTATCACCACTCGTGGTCAATCTGGAGAGTCCAGTTCTTTTTTTTTTTGTATAAAACATTTAATTTATTGGTCTTTGTGGGGAATCACTACTGTTTTACAACTGAGCCATTAATTTTGTAGCTTCATCAACATTAACTGGTTTGCTTTCATGATGCCGCTGAGGAATCAGTTCTTTCTGCAGAGGTTCAAGCGAAAGGCCTTTTCAGAAATGTGCAAGTTCCTTTTGTACATCTACAAAAGCTTTATATACTCTGTTGATTTTTTCTTCATTCATAATGTTTATCTTCTTAAGATTAGTGGTAACTGGTTTTGCTTTGTTTTTAGCCTTAAAGTTTTTTGGCTTGCTATGTGAAATACATTCCTGGACTTAGGCCCTCTTAATTTGTTTTTGGCCATTGTTAAACTCTCACTAGGAATTCAATACTTGCGTGCAGTTTCTTAAGCTCCAGGTGACGCCATCCCAGTTCTTTTGGGTGAAATGTTGTACTGAAAAACAGAGGAGTTGATGGGGAGAGGTGGTAAGATGAGGCAATATGGAAGTGTGGGGTGGTAAGAGCTCCAGTGGGTGAATATTGACCAATGTTCTGTTCTCTCTTGATACATTGCTTCAGGGTAGAGTTTCTCCATGTAAGATGTCGTGTGTGGTGCAGCTAATGCTTCTGTCAAGTGACCAGTGTGTCCCTTTGTGGCTTCACATGAAGCAGTAGTCAGTGTAGGAACTCACTCATATTTTATTTATTCTCATTCTTTCTGTTTTTTTTTTTGTTGTTGTTGTTGTTCCCTTTTCTGTATTCCCAATGCCCAGGGATTGCACCTTCTACTTAAAGCACCAGCACTTGATCTCTGCCTCTGGCTCTGTTTTTTAGGAAATTGAGTATATACATATTTTATTTCAAACTCTTGCCAACATTTTGAATCAGGCAGGTATGCTTTTTGTTGTTGTTGTTGGTCATACTTTAGCAATGAAAAAGCTAAGGCTCAGAGAGGTTAAGTGACTAGCCCAAGATGGCATTCATTCATTTTTTCATTACTTCATTTATTTAGCAGACATATTTCAAACACCTTCTGTGTGCCAGGCACTGTTCTATGTGCTGGTGGTGACTAAGACAGACAAGGTTATGCCTTCATGGAACTTAAATATGAATTGGTGGAGACAGATGGTACATAAGTAAATACATCAATCAACAAATGAGGGAAGTGATAAATTATATTATTCTATTCTATACAACAGGGTTTTGTGTTAGATAGCGGAGGGAAGACAAGGAGAGCTAATTTAAAAAGTGATCAGGAAAAGCATCTCTGAAGAGGTGACACATGAACTGACACCAGGGTTAGGTTAGAACTTCTAGAGGCTCTAAAAACTCATAGTTCCCATCCCTGCTTCTACACTGTAATTCAAATAGAAACAGTACCACGTACATGTAATGAAGTCCAACATAGAAGGTACTTGGTAAATATCTGCTAAATAAATGAATGAATGAATGAATGAAAGATTCTTATTTTCCCTATGATGACTACTTGGATTTAAAAAATATATATCAAATTCCAAATTCTCCTCCCAACCCCCCAAAAGCCTTTTTGTGGAAGAGGGTTGTTGCTTTATTGTTCTGCTGTAGTTGTGCTTTATCTACCTATTGAGTAATGCAGTATTGTTAAGGGTTGAATGATTAGCAGACTACACTTTTCTGACACTGTAGGCAGAGGGAACAACATGCACAAAGAAACGAAATATGACCCAGCCCAAGTGACTTAAGAAACAGAAAGAAAGGCTGATATGTCTGGGGAGTGGCAAGTGACAGGGAGAGAGGTGTGAGATGGGGTCAGAGAGATGGCAAAAGCCAGATGATACAGTCTTGAATTCCATGATAAGGGACTCTGATTTTATTTTAAGGGCAATAGGGAGCCATAGGAAGATGTTTAACCATAGGCAGTTCAGTGACACGATTAAAGCCATTGTAATTGTAAGTCTAGAACTTAGACCTCTGACTCCTGGACCTAAGTACCTCTTCTATACTAAGCAGGACCAGATAGTCCTTGAGGCCTTTGGTAGTTCATGCACCTTGTGCTTTTGCACTACGAGTGCACCAGTTCCCAACACAGACACAGCCAGCCGTCTCTTGACTCCCTAGCCTGTTCCTCAGAATGGCTGTGCTTTCTTCCGGCTCTGCAGACATCAGTTCCTAAATAAGATGCTTTGAGGACATCAGAGAGATTGCCCCCTCCAGCTGATCACTATGTGACATTTTGATGTTATTAATGTGTGTTCATCTGCTGCCTTCCTTCTCCCAAAAGTAGAGAGGGAGAGAAACATTATTGAATAGAAATATGGGGACCCACGGAGTAAGCATGCAGGAAGGGGGAAGGGAGAGAGGAAATTTAAATCGAGGAGGGGTTGATGGAGCTGGGGGACATGGAGAGGACTCCCAGGGGAGTAGGTAAATGACAATGTTTGTGCATCACAAAATCACACCTTCTCTCGAGTCCAACTGTTTCACCATCCCGCCCCCACCAGCCCGGCACCTCTTAGCAATTCCCCGGCTGTCAGCTCTCTACCTGCCTGGCTCTGGCTGCTCTGCTCAGAGCTGCTCCCCTGGGCCTCCCTGGCTTGTCAGTGGGCTGCGTCAGCATCACGCCACACTGTCTCCCGTTGGCCCGGTGATCAACGCCTGACGGGCCAGCCCTCTCTCCCCGCTTCAGCTGGGGCCAATGGGAGTCAGGGGAAGGTTTTGGTTACAAACGAAAATAAAATAAATAAGTCATACCCTTGCACTCAGGAGTCTGGGAAGAACGTCTTCATGGCCTCGTAAATCTTTCCTTTTAAAGCTTTCTCCTTCTTGATGCCCCTCCCACCGACCCCTGGCCCCCTTGGGCTGCCCCTTACAGTGCAGGGAATACAAAATCAGAGGCTTAGATTTAGACGTGGTAACAGCACCTCCCACAAAGGCATCCGTACTCTCTCTCTGTGTGTGTGTGTGTGTGCGCGCGCGCGCGCGTGTGTGTGTGCACATGCACAGAAGCCAGCAAGATGGAATTCTTGACAGTGTTATACTTCCCGCACCCTGACTCATGGTCTTCTGACTTTTGCGACACATCACCCAGCCCCCTACCAGGTCACCCCTTGACCCTGGCTTCTTACTCCAAAGCTCTCAGTTTGTTTATTTATTTCTTCCCATTACAGAGAAGCTGAAATGTGGGGATTAAATGCATATCCTATTTTAAGATGCCTAGAAGTTTTTCTTAAAATCCATATCTGTATCTCTCCCTATTAGACATTTAATTAAAGCTCACTGACTTTGAATCTTCTGCTTAAGGCATTGTCCTCTTTTTCAAAACATATACCTTAAGGTAGGAGGTGTTATTTATCTCATACCTTGAATGTGAATAAAAGTGCCTGAATTGGACCTGAGAGGGTCAGGAGAGACGGCCAGAGCTCCTAAAGCCACCGTGGATATGAGGAGCAGGGGTGCATGGTGGAGAAAGTATTGGGGCGCTTTGCTGGATTGCCTAGGGTTGCCCAGGAGCTTTCTTAAGTGAGATTCATCTCGGTCATCAGGCAGGTGACCTCTGAGCAGATGCAGTAGTGGCATAAGGAGATGACCATGGGCTCAGGGGCCAAAGAGTTAGAGGGGAGCTGGGGAGGAGAAGCATTGAGAAATCAATGCTCAGTGCGTGGAAGACCCCCAAAATGGTCAGTTTTGTCTTGAAAAGTGTTTGTTTTAGACTGGGGGGCAATCTTCCTTAGCCACTCCTCCCACACTCCCTTTCTTGCCTCACTTCAATGCACAATGCATGAAGAGAGAGGGATTTTGCCTTCCATTGACCATGTCCAGAGGGAGTCACCTGGCCAGTGTCCTGGGCTGTTGAGGGGTCCAGGTGCCTGGTGTGCTCCCTGAGGTTAAGAAGAAGGAAGAGAATGTGAAAGGATTAGGTTTCTGGAAATGTTGCCCAACTTCTGCTAGATGGGATCACTGAAGGCGCTGCACGGCCGTGGGGCTTCCCTCTGAGAAATGTCAAGATGGAGCCACGTTGGTTCAGAAGGACAGACAGGCAAGATGTTTGCTGCCATTTAATCATTATCTAGGAACATTTCACTGTGTTCAGAGCCATGCACGTTTCTATCTCTTTGAGCTCTTTCTAACTGCTTCCTCTGCATGCTGAGGCAATGGTGAGGTTTTCATAGACTGTACTTTCGGTGGGTGGAGTAACTTCCAGATTGGGTTGCAGTACAAGATGCAAAAGACTTCATCGCAGAGCCTCTGCATAGAGGAGGATTTGCAATGAAGCTAGTGCATTTTAAGCTTCAGGGCCCCTCATTTCCATGGGCTCTGTCCATGGCTCTGAAGCTGGTGAAGGAATTTTCATATTAAGATACATTTTGCTGCCCTTCAGAGGACAGACTCCAGGAAGAGGTCTAGGTAGGCTCCGACCAAGAAATGCCAGGGTCCTGTGTATTTGGAGTGAGATCAAGAAGTAGGGGGCATGGACTTTGAGCAGTCATGTCTCCTAGCTCTACAGATTTCTTGCCCTGGGCAGAGAAACATCAAGGGAAGAGGAGCAGAATATATCCCTGTCAAGTGCAGGTTCCCTCTGCCTGGATGGTTCTGATGGTATCCCAATACGATGTCTGGGATTAGGAGTATGTGTGTATACAGGGAACAACAGTATTTCAAATAGTCAGAGCCAGAAGTTAGCTTTTGGAAAATTATTCCACATCTTATACTTCATATATATAAAAGAAATTTGGTAAGTTCCCCCAGATTTTACAACTATCCTAATAGTTTACGTGAGAATGACTTCTGGAACCAAAAAAAAAAAAAAAGTTTCCTAAACTACCAATAATAAAACGCAAATTTTGGTAAATGATACTAGAGGAAAGACTGGATTGCTTTTCATTTTTTCTTATAGGGAAGAATTTACAAAATCTTTGTCATGTGAAGAAGTTACCAAAGAGCATGCAGCAGAAATTGTAGAGGAACAAGTATTATAGGCAATGTGAGGAAGTTGATTAATAAAAACATTATGTTTTGAATATTTGTGATGTATACGGTATTTGCCCACTTTATTATTTTGCCCAGGTTGGAGTGCAGTGGTGCCTTTATAGCTCACTGCAGCCTCAAACTCCTGGGCTCAAGTGATCCTCCTGCCTCAGCCTCTGAAGTAGCTGGGACTACAGGGGCAAGCCGTCATGCCCAACTCATGTCCATTTAAAAAAATTAATTGCATTTTATTTTCGCATTCTAAATAAAGATTCTCTTTTTGTACCCAAGTATATATTTTTAACTAAGCATTGTTTTTCCTCAGAAAAGCTTCTAAGTTTTATAAACTTTAAGTGCCACAAAATCTGTACCTGCCCCTGACACCCTAAGCCTTTTTGGGTAACAGTATTCAATGGCCTTTATTTCATAGCCTGGGAATGAGGGACATTTTTGTAATGACTTCACACATAGACTGAGCCTATGTTTATGTTTTTTTTTCTTTTCTGCATTTTTACTTTTCAAATTCTCTGATCAAAAACATGAAACTCCTTTTCTAGATTTGTCAGGTGATCTGAAAGTTCAGAAAAGTGTTTTCCAAACTGTACTATGACACTATTTCTAGTATAAAGCAATTTTATTTTTTAGAATGTCCACAAACTGTTAAAATATGTTCTCTTTTTAAAGCTAATTACCTTAAAAATGTCTGGGAAGAAACACTGAAATAAGGAGATAACAACATTTTGTGAAGAGCTGGAAACTTAAAAGAACTTTCGATATCTTCTATGTTTATGAGACTTGGGATGTTTAACAAACTTGTGAAGCTCCATGATCTTGAATAAGCCACTCAACATTGTAGATTTTC